ATCTGATGCTATATCAGCTCCTCTCTTGGTTCTCACGTCCTCCATTGTCCTCCTGAACGTTTTTTTGATGCAAATATGGTCGATTTGGTTTTGCGTGTGATCCGGTGAAGTCCATGTGCTTTTGTGAATGCGTTTATGTGGGAATATGGTGCCGCCTATGACCAGTTTATTAAAGACACATAGGTTTGCGAATCTCTCACCATTTTTGTTTCTTTCTCCCAGTCCATGTCGTCCCATGATGTCTTCATATCCAGTGTTGTCCGTTCCAACCTTGGCGTTGAAATCTCCCATCAGATTGGTCAGGTCCTTTGTTTGGCACTTCTCGATGACTGACTGCAGCCTATTGTAGAATTGATCTTTAGCGTCTTCATTGTAATCGTTGGTAGGCGCATAGCATTGGATGATGTTCATTGAAACGCCCTCTTTTTTTGTTTTGAATGAGGCTTTGATGATCCTTGGTCCATGAGATTCCCATCCTGTAAGTGCATTTTGTGCTTGTTTGGATAGCATCAATGCAACTCCTTGTGTATGTGAAGCATTTTCTTCATCATGGCCGGATTATAAAGGAAGATCTCCTGAAGTTAGTCGTTGTTGTTCAACTTGTGTCCAATGTGTTTCACTGATCCCAAGTACCACTAGGTTGTCTCTTCTCATTTCTGCAGCAATTTGGAAGGCTATCCCGGTGTCCCACATTGTACGAACATTCCATGTACCTAAATAAATGTTTGCTCTGGTTGTCAGAAGGGGCATCGGCCTCGTAACTTCCGAAGGAATTCGGCTTTCATCATGAGGCGTCATAGTTCTTCCAATTGAAGACCTTCTGACTCCCAGGGCAGAGGTTAAAAGGTTTAAATAATTCTTTCTGGTTGGTGTTTTTTTAGCGAGTTAGTTTTCTACGGGATGGAGACGCTAACCCCATGCCCAACCCTCCTCCTTTATCCGGGCTTGGGACCGGCAGTGGCCCTCGGAAGGACTCCAGGCGGAGTTAAATACTCGTACATTTCTGTAGAAATGTTTAAGTATGTGAGATTACTAGAATGTTTTCAGAAGGAAACTTTTGACTTGTGTTAATGAAAAAACGTAGCGATAACTTAAGTACTCTTGAGAAGTTAAAATCTTAAACATCACATCATAATGTTTGTATATAAAAATTAGTGGATCTTCCAAATTATCAGACCTTGAATATTGAGCATATATAATTTTAAATGAGATCACTTTCTGATAAATTATTTGTAGGCTATTACCGTTTGGTGTACAGTCAACAACATTGCTTCTCCCATTCTAATCAAAATCCATATACTGTGAGATTTTGTCAAAAAAAATTACGACTGTTGTTGGTATTTTTCACATGTTACAGTACTGAATGGAGTTTTCAAATCAGTCCGTAATAATAAATTCCAATGAGAAGCTTGGCATTCTTATTGATGTGGAACGTGTTTTGAGAGCCATCCGGAATTTTCAGAGTTTATAAACATCTCGAGAGTAGACCATATTAAACACATATATTTCTGCCTATCCAATTTTCAAATAGTTCTGCAGGCTCAGTTCTATCTCGTTCACCACCAAGTAGTGGATATATAAGCCGATATTAAAACCTACCTCTGTTCCTATGTCTCCCATGGATCTTTTGATTTTTTAGTCCATGCTAATGTGATAGACCTGGCTTTTTAATGTAGTCCGATTAAATACATGTCACTTAATGTATGCATTTGTGGGGAAAATGTTACCACCTATAACTATGCTATTCAAAACAAAAAGATCAAGTCGCTCATCATCATTTCCCTCTGGTCCATTTTAGTCATGAAATCTTCATACTCAGTGTTTTCTATCATGAACCTGAAGACCCCTCTACGATGGAACATATCCTTTTATAATACAGATATCTTTAATGTTCGATGACAAACATAATGGGTGCCCAGCTCTGAATGACATTCACCGTAAATTCTACTCCCTCTGTGTTGAAAGATGGTTCTGCAACAATGGCTTACCCATCCTATAAGCGCTTTCAATCTTCTTTAGAGAGCATCAGCACGGTTTTTTAAGTGTGGAGTATTTTACTTTAGCAACCAGAACAATAGCTTAACTGAAGTTAAACTTCATCGACTATATTTTTTCCAAGATGTTTCATTTGTTCTAAGCAACTCTGGGAATATCTTACTCCTACTGCTGTTTGAAATAACCGTGAATTTCCCGCATTATTTAGATATTCCATATGCCTAGATGAATTTTTGCTCAGATTGTCTGAAGAAGGAACGGGCCTATGGCTTCAGAACAACATGAGCTTTCATCATGAAACTCTAGGATTTTCTTGAATGAGAACTTCTAAAACCCTAGGCAGAGTTTAAGGGGTTTACCGTGAATTCGAGAGTATTTTTAATATAAAATAAGGATGTTACATCTATGTACAACTCTCATTTACTCAGGCATAGGAACGGCAGTACCAATTGAGGTTCTCTATGCAGATTTCAGTTAGAGCTCTCATGAGAGGATACTTTAATTCCTTTGTTTTCTGACTTACCAGTACTGTTTTCGATGAGCTAACTCTTAAGCCGAATCTATATATGCATATTTATTTCCGATAAAGCAGCCGGTAATTCGAAGACCCAGCATATAAGGTAACGTAAACACATATTCAGGAAAGTTTATTTTCAGTGATGAAATAATTAGCTTGATATTATGATTTTAACATAGAGTGACTCCAGAACCAGTTGTACGCGATAGTGGTTCAAAGCTTGTGCTAAGAAAGACAACAAAAGAATAATTGCTGAACAAATGCTTGTTCAGAGGTTGTTGGCGAAGCGTCCTTTTTTATTAAGTTTGACTTCCTGTTGCATTACCTTCGCCCAGTTCAGTGTCACTGAACCTCATATTCGACCTGAAGATGCCACAGGTATTCGGAGTTTGACGACGCTTTAATCAGTAACACCATCTAATATGAAGCGAAATCGAAAGACAGAAGCGAGAAGGTTCGGAGATAAGCTATCAATATTACGAGGATCGTCTGATTTAATCTGGCTAGCGATGGCAGGAATTGTTGAGCACGGCGTTCCCACTCGTGATCTGGTGCAGATGCATGACCGCGCGCCTTCAGCTAGGTGAGTCAATTAAAACTAATGTGGTCAGCATCCAATATCGAAAACTTACAGAGCTATTTATTTTGGGGGTTTATTTACCGTTACAGACTATTATGTACATGTTTGTATTCTCGCTTTTGAATCGGGTTTCTTATAGTCTACCGGGTATTGTGAAGTTGTAATATCGGTTACTATGGTGAACCCATATGGCTTCTTCTAGCTTCTGGATAGGCCAATTTATCCGTTTTTCTTGAGTCATTTTTTGACCTCATCAATCATTCGGTTATTAATCTTGACTGTTTTTATATGAGTGCATTGTCTATCCTACTCATAACATATTTAGAGCTTATTTTTGTGAATATAAATATCGATTATCGCTTGATAAAATGGAGTTGGCTCACACACCTCTACTGTACATCGTTTTGTTTTGATTTGCTTTCAAATCAACGAGCGTATGAAATATACATATTCAAAATTCATGCTTGTATTTGAAATATATAATTCCGTTACTCGTTAACACGAGTTAAGTCGATAATTATATACGACGATTGACATGTATATTTCAATAACAATCAGTCATACCAGATAACTGGAGTCTGAACCCGGGTCATTAAAACGTCATGAATTTACGTGGTAACTCTGACGAATCTTCAGAGTTACTGAGCTAATGTCTGAGTAACCATTGAGAATTATGCTTGCTTGTCCGTTACAATATATTCCTAAACGTCTGCTTCTGTGTAGGGAACTAAGTTGTGACTGTCGTTGCTCACGGTACGCAGCAAGAAAAACTGAGCAAGCGTACTGATAAATAAAAGGTATGTAAGGATAGAGGGCATAACGTGAGACAATCTAACGGGTTTTTCCGGCTAATTCGGATCAACAGGATCTGGTATTTGTACCAGTAGTCTTACACGGACTAAGAGTATACCATAAATCAATAAAATAACACTGAACCTCAGCCAAACTATTATCATTAAAAAGTTTGCCAGTTGATCTACTAGGATTCTTTTCCCATATGGATTTTCTGAGTCGCTTTAAAAGCACTACTAATGAGTAAATCATTATTCATTGAACAATCTCTTTATTCTTATATTAGTAGTATTTTGCATTGCTTGATGCAAATATTCGTTCAATCGTACTGAACAAGTCATTTCTTGCACTCTCTAACTAAATATTATTGAACTTATCACCTTGAATGTACGTTTGTGACTTAAATTAATGGTCGATTATAGGGGGACCACTCTTAAACATATTCGAAGCATCTGAAACAGAGTTTCGACTTTAATCGACCTTAACTGAGTTATTCCACTGAATTAAATACTTCCTGCCCATACAAAGTTGTTTTATCCAAATTTTGAAAATCACTGACCAGACTCTGTCACTCTTTGTTGTTGTCCGATTCATATGCTGATGTAATGCTACCAAAACACTTGCACAACCTGGTATGCGAGTGTAGAGATGTCTGGTTACGATAAAGCCATATGAACTGAGCCCATGACAAAGCATATAATCAGTGTTATGTAATAATGAACCTAATTTACAACGCCACTTGTTGCTTTGCACAGAAGCATCATGTGAGCATAGGCACGTGATATGTCTAGTTCCATCTAGTCCACCAAGTCCTTGGAAATCCTTGGAGAGGTGTCTAGATAGTTGATGCAAATGTAAGTGTCCAGATCAAGAAATATCATTTGAATAAAAGTTAATGGCTTTAACTGAGTATTGTCACTTTGCTAAATTATATTGACTGATAGCTAGTTCTCACCATACACTTAGTCATGCTGCTTTACGTCGAGCCATAAAAATAAAATGTTATAATGAATAAACTGGATGTAATTTTTGAGACAACTAAAACAGACATCAATTTGCGAAAACGATCTACGTGACCAAAATACAACAACAGATTATTTTCTGAAAGCAAATGTACGACAGAACAAGGCAGAACTATTCAATATACTTTTATGAACAAGAAAGGATGACACTATATGTAAACAATCTGTAAAATATGATGAGCGTAAATGAAAATTGATAAAATTAGAGATTATGAAGAAAGTAATGAATAAATAAGCATAAAAAATAAGTGATCTGGGTTTTTAAAATTAATTAATTAATGTCAGACTACTAATATTTGTGGTTAGGAGAGGAATTCAACACATGTTGGACACCGAAACACTCCAATTGATATACAATATTTAAACAAAGAGCCAGACGCCCAGGAGTAGCTCGTGAATAAAACAGAGAGCGTATACCATTTGGAGGACGAGCGGCTCCAGATAACCAATCACCTGCCCAACATACATTTAGGAGATCACATAAACGGTTGGTGAGTTTATTACTTTGCATTTTATGGGATTTTGTTGAGTTTTTAAATTTTGCGGTCAAAGAATCAATCTAAAAGCCAATTGAAAGAATGATAATATTTTAAAACAAGAAACGCACATATGGATTAATCGGATTGTATTGTTATAGACTATGACAACAATGAACACCTCCCAATCAAATCAACTGGTTTACGGAATATAATACATCACCGGAAGTAATTGTATGAAGTACAAATTCCAGTAGTAACTTCATGTTGACTTTTTTATATCACAAGTGGACATATTTTAAAAACCGATATCAGTAACATCTTAATTGATGAAACTAGATAAATCTAGTTAACTAAATATCCATACTAAGCGTGTGGACGCTTGTTAGGTCACTCAAATCCTATCTGTTCTCAATATATCCAATTAGAAAACGAGAAGAATCAGTCAATTCACCTTTTATTATACTGATTTTAAAGCTAATATGAAAATATATGCCAATTACAAGACCATACAAAATGCTAAAAATCAGAAATTACGGTCTGTAAATAACTAGGCCATTTATGATACAAAATTCAATAACGATGGGAATATAATTAATTAACTACAATTTATTAACGATAAAACATATATCAACAGATAATCGGTTAAATGAAGACTTACAATTCAGGTAATAGAAAAAATATAATTAACCAATTGTTTAATGAATACACAATAAAACTATATATGATCGGATGTAGAATAGTCCTCAAAACGCCGCATTTTCTACTTATTCATCTGTACTTAACATTAATTATATTATCAGAATGGGGATTTGTGAAGATTGTAGTAATTTTAATAGTTGAATTCATAAGTCGATCTAAACTGGACCGTTGTTGTGAATCTTCATCGACTGAGATGGTTGGGCCACGTGTTGCGTATGCCTGAACACCGACCACCACGACGTGCAATGCTAACCTGTGTTGGGGATGGTTGGAAGAAAGTTAGGAGTGGCCAAATCAAAACATGGCATCAGTGCTTGAAGTCACTAACTTCTGGTCTGAGCCATGTTGGTAGATGCAGACAACTTGGTTGGGGTCCGCGTGACTATCGTAACGAATGGTTGGAGACTCTGTGTGACATGGCTCAAAATCGACCACAATGGTGTAGGTGTATATACACTATATGTCTTCCCTTAAACCATGAGATTAAAATCGTTTCATATCTCTATTTCTAAGTATTAATTCTTCCTTCCTATACTATATCCTTGTATGCAATCTTTCTTTTATATATTACCACCATTGACTTAACTACTCCTATGAATCCGGTATTCATCTTGCTGTGCTAATGAGGTATGGTAACTTGGACCGATGCATATATGTGCCTGGTCCTACGTTGTAACTGACTGAAGCTAGACCGTTAGATGCCGGCTCAATGGTCGAGATTTTAAGCGTTCGTGCTCGAGACAGAAGGTACTGGACTGGAGTTCCGCGTGCATATTGCTGAGGAGTCCCATACTTGGATGAGACGGCTGTCCAGTGCTTTCAGGTTTTTAATGGTAGTCTAGCTTTAATCGACTCATGAATTCAACTATTAAAATTCATCATTACTGATGATTGTTAGAAATTTTTTCTAAAACTTACATTTATGGTTGCAGAATTTATTGGATATTGCGAAAAATCTTTAAAAACATCAACTTCTTGTCTACTGTGAAAATGTCTAATAAGACACCAAGTATGCAAAATATCTGCAATTTCATCAGCATTAGGTCTTTCTGATGGATTACGTTTAAGACATTGATGTAAAATCCATGTCATTATTTTTGGTGCTTCATGAGGAAGTTCAGGCAAAGAATCCTCGGTATAGTTTACTGAAGAAAATGTCTGAAAAAACAGTGGGTATAAATAAATCATCTGATAAAAAAGTGATAAATTAAGGTGAGTGAAAATCTGAAATTTTAAAAGATACCAAACAATGGTTCCTATGTTAAGTATAATTTAAATATTTCAGTTCATAAGTATGCCAGAACAACTGGGCATTGAATCTTCTCTCTTGGTTCAATTCTGGAATTTATTTTTGATGAAGAAGTTAACCAGATATCAAATATATAACAACACATATGGGGAGTGAATCGATTATTTTCAGCTAATATTTCGATGACACCTTCCTCAGCTTCTTTAAATGGGCACTGTTGTTGCTTCATTAATAATCGTATCTGGTAAAATGAAGAGTTTAACTAGATAGCTATCTCTAAGTTGTTGTGATTTCAGCTATATCAATAACGATAATCTCGATAACTCAGATGCTTTGTATACTAACATTCGACTGTCGACACAAAACTCTTACACATTCTCAATCTACCAATAATAACATCAGGAAAGACAATAAAGTATTCTGTACTAATCAGACTTAAAAACTCATGTGACTATACATACAAACACAAGACTATAATGCAAGGAATTTCAATTTGTCAAACCTATTTTGTTTTGTGGTTGATGGTATCTTGCTAAAATATGTCCCCTTTTGCCAGTAAGTATTATTGAGCGAAACAACGCCTACCACTGAGAATAGTAAATGGGTAATCCGGTACTAGGAGAGGATAAAGATGTTATTGAAAGGCTGCATTGACACTCGTTGAAAAATCAGTAAGTTTTTGTGACGATACTAGGAGAGCCTCAACTTATAATGACTTTTATGATAACGCCCCACTGCAGTGAACTTCTTATCAACCTTTTCCAGGAATGCATAGGAAACATATCTCTCGGATCAGAAAACTGAGGAAGGGTTAGGCTTTCGTCGCAAAGCTGTTCATATAGTTCTGAAATGACCCAGATCCGATTCAAAAGCACCAACATATTGACTCATTAGTTCGGATTAGTAATCTGTAAACATAGTGGGGTATTTTTGATTATATTTCGAACTTAGAGAAATATCTGCTAAATGGAGATTTTACGATCAATCGAAAACGAGAACGAGGATTAGATGATATAACAAATCCCAATGAAAATGATTTTATGTTGCAAGTTTACTACTAATCATTGATCATCGTTTGTAATATCATTCAGTGTTATGGTTTCGTTTTAAGGGGTTTACTAGATATGTTATAATAACCGTGAATCTATATGACTATAGACTGCGAAACAGAAGTGGTGACTAACCTGTACGCTTACTGGTTAGATATAGAGCTGGGTATAACAATTATATCGCATAATAATTAGATGTTACTGGAGAAACTAATGGTATGAGTTACTTAACAGAAGGCAGTAAGTGTTTGCTGAGGTAACCTTCTATCGGTAGGACAATTTTAATCCAGTATATCGTTTTAAGATACTATTTTCACTGGAACATACTACACCGCAGACAGTGACATAAGCTATCTTCTTGGTCTTAACTGATTTGGAAGTTTTCATTGAACGAGTATTCCCTCTTAGTTTCATATGTTATAAACTCTATTCCACTATGTTTGCAGACTACTTAACTGAACTATCGAAACAATTTATTGGTATTTTTGAACTATGAGCTATTACACAACAATACAAACAGGTTTGCGTAGTAGATTTGTTCTACCATAGTCTACTATATTTCAGTTAGATTATGTATTTTATAAGTTGAACTTGTTTAAATGACTTACTCCATCAATAAATGGATTAGGTATTCCAAACAAAGGATAAATTAATGTAGCAATTGCCCATAAATCTGAATGTTTATAATCTTTATTAGTTATAATATTGTGTAAATTGTTTGAATGATCTTTAAGTGAATAAATGATTTGTGCTATTTCTGGGGCTAATAATGCCAAGTTTCCACTATGATTAAGATGTTCTTCTTCATTATTATTATTATTATCATTAATATAATGATGTCCTGTTCGAATAGCACATCCGAAATCAGTTAATGCAACATGAAAATGTGAATTAGTCATTTGAATTCTTTTGTCTAAATGAAATGAAAAGAAATTTTTTTTAGTATTAACAATCGATACATGGAACAATCAATTGAATAGAATTCATCTCTCTACGTCAACTTCATTGACTACGAGAAAGCGTTTGATTGCGTGAACAGGACAATATTATAGAAGCTTCTTCGACACTACGGCGTGCCTGAGAAGATTGTCAATATCATACGGAATTCCTATGATGCATTAAACTGCTAAATCGTGCATGGAGGACAATTGACAGACTCGTTCGAGGTAAAGACCGGTGTCAGGCAAAGTTGCTTACTCTCACTCTTTCTCTTGGTGATCGACTCGGTCATGAAGACGTCAACATCTGAGGGGAAGCATAGGATACAGTGGACAGCTAGGATGCAGCTTGACGATCTAGACTTCGTAGATGATCTGGCTCTTCTATCGCACACGCAACAACAAATGCAGGAGAACATGACCAGTGTAGCAGCAACCTCAACAGTAGTAGATCTCAACATACACAAAGGGAAAGCAAGATTCTCCAATACAACACAGCATGCACCAATCCAATCACACTTGACGGAGAAGATTTGGAAGATGTAAAAACCTTTACATATCTGAGCAGCATCATTGATGAACATAGTGGATGTGATACAGATGTTAAGGAGCGGATCGGCAAAGCAAGAGCAGCATATTTACAACTGAAGAATATCTGGAACTCAAAACAAATGTCAAGACAATTCTACTGTATGGGGTGGAAACCTGGAGAACTACGAAAGCCATTATCCAGAAGATACAAGCGTTTATTAACAGTTGTCTACGCAAAATACTTCGGATCCGTTGGCCAGACACTATTAGCAACAACCAACTGTGGGAGAGGACAAACCGGATCCCAGCGGAGGAAGAAATCAGGAAGAAGCGTTTGAAGTGGATAGAACTCATATTGAGGAAAGAACCCAACTGCGTCACAAGGCGAGCCCTCACATGGCCAAAGGAAAAGAGGAAGATCAAAGAACACATCATGCCGAGAAGTGGAGACAGATATGAGAAAAATGAACAAGAATTGGATGGAATTAGAAAAGAAGGTCCAGGACAGAGTGGGTTGGAGTATGCTGGTTGGCGGCCTATGCTCCATTGGGAGTAACAGGCCTAAGTAAGTAACAATCAATACAAAGCGGTTAACTAATGTTTAGCGAAACAAATTCAAGATTTATGAGAAATTTATGGTTTTTATCATTCCAATCACGAACTGATTTTAGATAGATTAACACTTAAGACTTGGAAGTACTTGGAAAAAGGACTTCTCGAAAGTATACACCTATAACACTGTCGCTGAGGTTCGAACCTGTTATAACTTGTGGCCGCCAATTAGGACGCAGTGAATCAAAGACTGAACCAATGATTCATAAAACATGTATGAGCAGCCTGGAGTCTTTATTGGTTCTGCTTCCTACCAAGCCCAGCCAGTTAAGCCCACAGCACCAATTTCAGCCTCTGCGATATGAATCATTTACTTCAAACATACTGGATTTATATATCAACCAAATGGACCACATCCTACCATAAAATAGGAAACAACATTTGTACAAGATTTAGCTAAATATGGCTGTGAAGGAGGTAGTAATTAATAGACAGTGCATAACTCAAGAATGGTAAATCGTATAATAGTAGATTATAGCAACTCACGTGCAAATGAGTCTGTTCTCATTTAACTCAGTTAAGCCCTTTTGTTAACTTATCACTCGTACTATGACAACTTATTGTACCTTTATTATTGCTGTGCTTGTATGAAATATGTATGCTTGAACATAGCTTGCCGCCTACGAATATATTAATTCTGCTGGCTTTATTATTAACTGCTTAATTGATTCGATGATCCATTCATTTCCCTATATATATACTAATAAAACTGTAGTCGCTGCTTCTCTTTGCCTTCTAATTTCAAACACCGTTGAGGATTATATGGTAACGGTTACGAGGGTGATTGGTTAACGAAGCACAGCCACTACAAGTTCATAGGTTAAAATAAAGCTTATAATAAGAGGGACATGAATATGAATAGTTTAGTTACTTGACAATTATACAATCAAAATAGATGTATATTATTATTCCACAAATAGATCCTAAAAGTTACCATTAATTATTCTCATCCGGATATAACAGAACCCAAGACTATTGGTTCGTGAGCGAACGCTAATCTTCTAGACCACTGAGACCATAATCGGTAATTGCTTGACGCAACGCAGGACAAATATCCAGTTAGAATTTTTTGAAAACCAATCTAAGAAGCAATTTGTGTTTCATGCTAGTCTCGTTAGCTAAACGCTAAAACCTAATAATCTTAATTTACTTGCAAAACATTTTTACCGCTTTCAAGTCACTTTATGAACGCTTTATCACCAGTAGTACAAGAACAAACTTTGGAAATCAAGTCATTTTTTTAAATACATATTTTCGCCTTCTGATCTTAATGAAATGAAATTAGACAACTAAATGAATCTAAAATATTTAGTAATATTGATGGTACAATAATAAGGGACACAATAGGTTATACTTACCATTTAACCAATTTAGATGGAACTGAACAAAAGTATTATAAGTAGCATTGTTTATATCAGATGTTTGATTAGTATTAAAAAATGGAACACGTCGACGTATAAGTATATTATTTGGTTTGATATCTCTATGAGCAATACCATGCGCTTCAAGTTCGGCAACTGCTTCAAATAATTGAGCAATTATAGCTACAATCTCTTCTACAGGAAGACACATTTCACCATGTTTAATATATGCAGAATTCAATAGGCTTGAATTAAACAAGTAATGTAAATCAGTATGTAATTGAAAAGATGGTGTGAAAGTATTAGAAACATTTGTTTCTTGATATTGACTAATATGTGCAAGATTAGTATTATCACTCTGATTTTGCTTAGATTCAACACTACCTTCGTGATTTATTTCAGCTGGTGATTGTTCGAACTTATATTTTAAATTTCCTCGTAAGAGATCATCCAAAGTTGCTTCAAATCTTTAAAACAGGAATAATTCAAAGGTTAGATTGGAATCACTGAAAGTATACAAAATGACCAATATGATTTAACTGACAACAAATTGTTTAAATTTAATTCAACCGGAGATAATAAAGGACGGTCGTGAAATATCGTGGATTGATTGAGGTTGGACAATAACACCGTTAGATGCCTGTTCAGTGGCCTAAATGATAAGCGTTCGTGTGAGAGATCGAAAATCTTGGGTTTGATTTTCGCGCACAGGGTTGTGGATTCGCTCTGCTGGGGGATCTTATACTAGGACGAAACGGCCGTCCAGTGCTTTCAGGTTTTCAATGGTGGTGCAACTTAGATGGGTACACGGTTTCAATGAACTCAACAATCTCCATAACCTCATGCTGTCAATTTATTTGTTGTACACATAGAAATGGGACAAGATAGGTAGGTCTTTCAACGAATAATAAAGTATTATCATCTAACCACTATTCTGAAGGTTAGTTTTGTACAAATCACTTCTCCACCTTCTCCACATCAGAAAAAAGGCTGTTAGGTATCTTTCTTATGTTTAAACAATATAAGATTGAACTTGTATAGATAAAAACGTGATGGTGGTCAACTTTCCCTAGTTGTTATAATGTGGGAAAGATATTTATTGCTATGAAGCTTGACAAAAAAACTTAATTAGTGTTGATAGTTTTATTGAAATGAGAGCATGGTTACAAAGATTGAGAGACAAATAGATGAAGCAAATCACATACGATCTTTATGTGAGTAGTTTTTGTGTTAGTTTTATCGACTGAGGTGACTAAGACACATATTAAACATACCCAACCATCATATATCTTGATATGCAACTTCAGAAGGTTGGAACAGTGTAGAAAGACGAAAAACTAAGAAGTGGTATCATTCGATGAAGTGATTGTTGGTTTAAGTCATGTTGGGAGGTGGAGGCTTTTATTTTGTGTTTTGGACGACGATCACAAACAGTGGTTAGAAACATTGGGTAACTTTACTGAAAATTTCATCGTAGTGGTGAAGACACATTCATTATATGCCCACCTCTTAAGATTTTTAATTGTCTCATAATTCCCAACTTCATCCACTTTCTTGAGCCACATTCCATATTATTAGTTCTCATAAATGTTGACACGACTATTGTTATAACTCCTTAGATTTCTATCCTGAAAATTTATTTTCTTGATGTGTGAATATGAAACGTGGCAAAATTTGTCCGATGCTCATATCTATGATAGATATTAGGTTGTGTATAACAACGAATTGCAACTATCTAATATACATCAAATAATAGTATTAACAATAAAGAGATAAATACTTACCTTGGCATCAACATGTAGAATGTATACGGTCGATTGTCGAAGCCTTCTGAAAAGTATTCTATACCAGGCCAACATTTTGATTGAATAGTTCTATGGTTAAATTGTGAAACTTGACCAGAAGATAAAGCATTATTAGATTCATTATAATTATCATTGTGAACATGTGAATCATTTACTGAATTGACTTGAGGTGCACGATCAATAAAATGTCCAACTAATGGGACAATATTAGGATGATTAGTTTGAGGACGAAGTTTACATTCTCTTTGAATTTGACGATGTAATAATACCCAATTGTCAGGAATATTTTGTAATGAATTATAATCATTGTGTAAATTAGCTTGTTCATCATAAGATGAATTCGCGTAATAGTTATACAGTACTTTCACAGCTAATTTATCAATGAATTCTATGTTAAATTGCAAATTTAAAAAAAAATTAATAAGACTGGTTAAGGAAAATAGCTTAGTAAATAAATTACTTCTGTTGAAAGAACCTAGACAGATGCTTGATATATAGAAAGCATTTAAATATAGAAATATTAATGGCATTTCAGTGAGTCAGCCAGTCAATGTAGAACTAGGCATAAAGATGTATCGTACTATATTGTCGTAACACATCGTCGATCCAAGGTTACACTAACAAGAAAAATTAGCTAAGAGGTCGAAATAATAGTATTATCAATCATGATATAAAGGACTTGATATAAGGAAGTTGAATCAGAAAGAAGGAATGATACAAGGGAATAACAAGTAGGCGATAAGAATAAAAATATGGGTTGAAAAGATGAGTGAATTCGCATCATTTTGAGGTGTCATCAATCAGTACTTAGTTACTACTTACTTAGGCCTGTTACTCCCAATGGAGCATAGGCCGCCGATCAGCACTCTCCAATCCACTCTGTCCTGGGCCTTCTTTTCTAATTCCATCCAATTCTTGTTCAGCTTTCTCATATCATTCTCCGTGTCTAGCCATAATGTATTCTTTGGTCTTCCTCTTCTCCTTCGGCCTTGAGGATTCCATGTGAGGGCTCGCCTTGTGACACAGTTGGGTTCTTTCCTCAATATGGGTCCTATCCACTTCAAACGCTTCTTCCTGATTTCTTCCTCCGCTGGGATCCGGTTTGTCCTCTCCCACAGTTGGTTGTTGCTAATAATGTCTGGCCAACGGATCCGAAGTATTTTGCGTAGACAACTGTTAATAAACGCTTGTATCTTCTGGATAATGGCTTTCGTAGTTCTCCAGGTTTCCACCCCATACAGTAGAACTGTCTTGACATTTGTTTTGAGTTCCAGTTGTTCTTCAGTTGTAAATATGCTGCTCTTGCTTTGCCGATCTGCTCCTTAACATCTGTATCACATCCACTATGTTCACCAATGATGCTGCTCAGATATGTAAAGGTTTTTACATCTTCCAAATCTTCTCCGTCAAGTGTGATTGGATTGGTGCATGCTGTGTTGTATTGGAGAATCTTGCTTTCCCTTTGTGTATGTTGAGACCTACTACTGCTGAGGTTGCTGCTACACTGGTCATGTTCTCCTGCATTTGTTGTTGCGTGTGCGATAGAAGAGCCAGATCATCTACGAAGTCTAGATCGTCAAGCTGCATCCTAGCTATCCACTGTATCCTATGCTTCCCCTCAGATGTTGACGTCTTCATGACCGAGTCGATCACCAAGAGAAAGAGAAAGAGTGAGAGTAAGCAACTTTGCCTGACACCGGTCTTTACCTCGAACGAGTCTGTCAATTGTCCTCCATGCACGATTTAGCAGTTTAATGCATCATAGGAACTCCGTATGATATTGACAATCTTCTCAGGCACGCCGTAGTGTCGAATAAGCTTCTATAATATTGTCCTGTTCACGCAATCAAATGCTTTCTCGTAGTCAATGCAGTTGACGTAGAGAGATGAATTCTATTCAATTGGTTGTTCCACAATGATCCGTAGTGTAGCGATTTAGTCTGGAACCACTCCGGGGCTACTGCCGGTCCCAAGCCCATATAAAGGAGGAGGGTTGGGCATGGGGTTATCAACCTCGTCACGTAGAAAACCAACTCGCTGCAAAAACGCCAAAAGGTCATCGACCAGTGGTTACATTTATTATGCAAGCTCCAAACATGTAGTCTCCGGCTACCAACATGATTCATAATAATAGTTATTGACTGGATTCCTTTGTTTGGTCACCCTTAGCTTCATTCCAACCCATTCTTGATTCAGTCAAAATTGAGGATTGAAGTAGGTAGTGGTTGAGCAGGCAAAACTAATGTCCTGTTCACTTGAGGTGATGAGAATCCATAGCTTTATTGACTGATTTTGGATGATCAATCTAACTACTCAATATCAAATTTCAAAATTAATCATCTAAGTATGCCACGGTTTGTAAGTAATGGTCTAAAGACATTAGGTACTAGCAACACATGGATATTTTCTAGCTCACTTTTTTGCGATATCATGAAACAATAGGAACTAGTGCCAGCTAAATTTCATGCAAGTATCCAAGATTATATGTTCGCCAACTAGTCACTATATTGTAATAAAATCCCAATGAAGGAAATTTACTTTTTCTCAAGGCTCAAATTATTCATTATGATAGGTAAAAGATAAGGTCAGTAACTGACCTTTATCTGCCAAGTCGGTTCATACTTAAGACTTGACAATCACCAAAAAACTCTTACTCTTAAAATAACTGGGTATACATCACGGAGTGACCTTATCTAGTCAGCTGTCGAAAACTAGGAGACACTGGCGGAAAGCTTGGGGAGTTGCCCCCAAATAAAACCACCTGCTTCGGTCTGGGCACCCGGGCAGTATCACAGCCCACACACTAATCAAGTGACTTGTGTGATGTATATGTATTCGATGCCCCTTTATACCAATATTTGTGTTCAAATAAATAAATAAATATTTTACATCACGGAGCGACCTTATCTAGTCAGCTATCGAAAACTGGGGGACAATGGTTCACTTCTTATGTAATACTTTTCAACACTGCGCACTTACAACCTTGTCAAAGATTAGTCACTGCTGTTAACTATTTTCAGATAAGAATATTCCACAAACTTTCTATATTAATAATAGTAATAATAATAACAATAATAACCAATCGTTTACTGGTGCCTGATATCGAGGAGAGATCCCACAGTTTTAGTGAGAAGCCATGATCAAAAGAGATCAACCAGGTCGGGCTTGAAATAACTCATACTAACGGATGTAGATGATGGTAGCACAATATTGAGAAATAACCACAGGTGGGGATGTAGATCATTAAAACTAACTTAGTGAGATAACAGTAACGTGTTTACTATGATGCATGAAAACCCTGGGTTTGATTTTTGATGGAGTCGTGAAAACACGTTCTTGTACAATCCTATACTAAAACAGAACTACTGTTCAGTGTTACCTGATTTCTAACAGTTATTTATTTAAAATCAGCACATAACGGAAACTATCTTCAAACTGAACAACTTCCACACACTTTTAACGCTTTATATATAATCAATTTTTCAATTACCATTATCATTTGGATATTGTTGACGAACTTCAGCTGCCCATACAGCACTGTTACATCCTGCCGCTATAAACTCTTTCGGGTTTATTGAGTCCGCGGAACTTGTACACAAATTAGGCAATATTTGATATTTGTTGGTGCCAAAGATACTTGAAAACCAAGATTCATGTTTTGGTTTACAAATTTTGTTGATCGGGTGAAAAGAATAACTAAAAGATCGTTCAAACGAATTTTTAAATAGAGAAGAATAAGAGGCATATACTATAACTGGAAATTGGTTCTAAACACTTTATTAATTTACAAATATCATTTATTACAAACTGGGAAATAAGTAATCAAAGGTTAATGTAACTCATTTACCAAATACATATTTATATATCTGGCATTAACCATATTTTAGGACGAGTGATACTAACCGATTGAGAAGACTGAAGTTGATGGAGTGAGACTCCAAAGTCAGATCTATTGACTGGAAGCACAGTGCTTTAATTACGAAGTTACCACTCCATGAAGACTTAAGATTTCATATTATAGGACTGTCACTCATTTTAAGATCGTATTCAGTATTTTCTAGGTTACGCAAGGACATTTCATTATTTAATAAGCAGGTTGAAATTCATTGCTTGGTTGACCGTTCACGCACATCAGGGAGATAATTATCTACCAATAATGTGTAAAAGTAACATCTTGAAAGTCACTCATTCGACGACAACTTCAAAAATGACACCATTACTATTCTAAGCAGGTAGTTGTGCCAACTAAGTAAAGTGCTTGCTATACTAAATCATTAAAAATTACCTATAAGATTACTATCTATAACTATGAATGACAATGAAGGATGTTTACATTATACCCCCAAATTCCCTGGTACGGCTGATAGTGGGGAGAGTCCACTCGCCCTCTCGAAATGCTCTCACACGGCCACAAGTATATAGCCTCTGCAAGGGAAGTCCTACTAATTGCCTTCTCGTGGCATTACTGTTGTTTACAAAAATGAGAGGACGAAAAGCGAATGTCCGGCGCTTTAACCGGATCACAAACCAATGGTGCACATGGGCTCCAGTATCCTGCGGGAACAAATGGCGTATGAACCAATCGTTGGTCACAGGCTACTATGGGACTGCATCTCCTCACGATGCTCCATTGCCTTGTGGATCAGACCTTGAGGTCAAAGGCTCGGGGTGTGGCCCCCTAAGAAAACCACCTGTTTCGGTCTGGGCACCCGGGCAGTATCGCAGCCCTTACACATATCAAATGCGATCTGTGTGGCGCATATGTATTTGGTGCCTCCTTGTACCACTATCTATGTGTTAAAATAAAATAAAATAAACGAACAACCAAATTCCAACAAAATGACTCGGAAATAACTTCCTTTTATAGACATTTAAATATCTAATATTTAACTCTTCTTTATCAAAAATATGTTACTGTACTCAGCTTTGAGTCACATATTTGTATAAGATCTAGTAATGTCATTCAATGACACATGAGTTATACCAAAACACCACTAAAGATATAAATTCTATGGTATCAATGAATGCCGATTCAAGCTGTAAACGAAAATACAATTCCTTGATCAATATTCGATATATTGCTCGTATATCCTGGGACCACCGAGTAAGTAACGCAGCTGTTAGGAAACGGGTACTAGGTAAGGATGGCAAATCAATTGATGAAGTAGTGAAACTTCATCAGTTGAGATGGCTGGGACACGTGTTACGTATGCCCAACCACCGACTACCTCGACGTGCTATATTCAGTGGTATAGGAGTAGGTTGGAAGAAAGCTAGGGGCGGCCAAACCAAAACATGGCACAAATCCATGAAGTCACTGACAAGTGGACTGGGTCATGTTGGTAGGTGTAGACTACCTGGTTGGGGACCGCGAGATGATAGCAACCGATGGTTAGAGACCCTGAATGACATGGCTCAAAATCGTTTGCAATGGCGCAGGTGCATCCACCCTCTATGTTCTCCCAAATTCTGATCTTCTGAATTCTTCATGTCCCTTTTTTTTCCTCCTTCCAAATTTATTTCACTGGATTATACGCGTTAAATAACATCTCCAAACCCTAATCTTCCCGATTACTGCTTATACTCTTGATACCTCTACCACTACGGGATTTGAATCGACCACTGCATCTCTGTGCTAATGTGGTATGGCAACTCGAACTGATGTACGTACGTACGAAGTTCTACGTTGTTACTGACTGACTGACTGATTCGATATATAACATAGGTCGTTGGTGATGATCTAACAGTCAAAGCACTTGGCTTTAAATAAATAGGTAACACGTTCAGATCTCGCTTCAGCTACGGTTTAAGAAGAGAGGTACCACTAAGCCTTGCTGTGTGATCAAAATACCAGTACATAAACTTGTACTACCTGGTTAGCGACACAAAAATGACGTAGACGGATTTAATATGATTAATTGACATGCAAAGTTACGTTCATTTTTTCTCTAATCCTTCCTTTATGTAGTTTTATGACTTTTATTACACCAGTACTAGTGTTTCCTTCTTCGCATTGAAGTGTGACGAATTCCGGCAATTCACTAATCTATTATTACAAACCATCCTAACTAGTCATTTTTGATCCAAATGTAACCAAAAGCAGAGTATGTAGAACTATTTTACATCAACAAACTTCATACGCACCAAAGTAATCAGATAATCATAATATAATATAACATTGATATGGAATGTAATAAATTAAATACAAAAACAATGAATGAGAAGAAACCATGCTTCTTACTTTATGATGAATACATTCTTAGCAGTAAGTATACTTACTCATGTCTGTTAGACACGTAATGCCTCAATTGAACGGATCCAGCGAAACCTCTATATACTCTTAGTAATGAGTTTGGTCGTTGTTGAGTACTACTACTAATAATCCTTCTATATACCGATCTAACCAGTGAGTTGGCTTGTGAATAATTGCCAATATATTTGGTTAATCGTCCGAAATTTGAACAGATACGAGGATATGGTACAAAGTATCTTGGAAGCTAGGGGGAATTTACGTATCAAAATGTTCAGTTACCAAGAATGATCTGGGTTGTTTAAGCAATATGACCGGCAGTCTATGTAGTCTTCGAAGGTATTTGGTACCCACAGTTATAACATCATGCCAAGTCATGAGTAAAGTAAACACGAGTGAGCGCTTTTAGTTTAAGAGGATAGTGATGAAATCTTTAACAGATTTAAAGAATCTGTCCGGAAAAGAACAGCTTTCAAAACCAACTGCTTATCTTTGGATCACCAACCATGACTTCGCCTTAAATTTCAAAATTCTTTGACAGAGAAACATGAAATCCCTAGAAAACAAATGTAATGTAATTTTATGATAAATTTAAATAACTGAGGTGCAAATTTTCATGTGATCAAAAATCATCACTTCTTCGTGGTATAGTGGCGTGACAACTCAAACTGATGGACATTTTGCCAATTTCTAAGCCGACTATGGTTAAAGGCAATTACCCAAAATTAATGTGATTAAAGGAGGCTCGTGTTGTCATGTGGCAATTTTGGAGGTAGTCATTACTAAATTAGACGGCTATGGGGTTAGACTTTACATTTTTTGGAAAAAGAACGAGTAGTAAGTTGGAAACACTAAATATCAAAGTGCTACTGAGAAAGATCCATTGCTGATCCTACTTTCGGTGATATTGTGTGTTTCAATAGGTGAAGCAAGAATATAGACTCAATGGCTGATAAACCACTATTATCCCATACAAACAGTTAATTATATTATGATGAATAAAGCGGTGGTTTAGTCGTTACGGCACTTGGCCTTTAATCATTGGGTCGCAGCATCTACTTCAGTTTAGGCAACCGAGTAGTAGCATCAACCTAAATACAGTTAGTTCTGCAAACTAATATAGTGCATTTAAAACATTTGTCAACGGCAAATGTTTTCTAGGATTTAGTGATACAATATGATACACTAAAATATTAATCGCCAATTTTAATATTGCAATTTTCGGTAGAAACAACAGTTAAAAATGTTCATTTTACAGGTGGCAACAGAGGAATTAAACAGTTGATGTGTAGTGTTTATTTGGTCCCATTATCCGATATGACCATAAGGAAAGTGTACAGATAGGGACTATCATGTAGTTTCAGTTCATCATACTTTTGTATAGCTAAGATAAACTAATATACAAAAAAAACCCATAGTAATAAAGAGATTTATACAAAACGTCAGTGTTTGCAATTACGGTATAGACTTGGAGCCATCAATATCGATCACTGTATTGAGTAGCAGAAACTGTACAGTGTTGAGTTTATGCATATAATTTGGTGAGATTTCGAATTAATGTTACTTGTAAATATTTGACCACTAACTGTATGGTGCAATGTTAACCGAAGTGAAACACCACAGAATGTCATAAAGGATGAACTAACGTATCCCAAAGGGAACTAAATCTACACATATACTAACAGTCAAGGAAGAGGTAACTAAATATTCTTTACATAAAAACTAGGCGGCTGGCTTGAACAACGCGACCAACTGTAGGCTTCTTAATTGGTTAAGAGGATTGGAGAAATATATGGTGGGAAAAGCTAAGTGAGATGGCCTAAAATCATATTAAATGGTAAGGATGTGTTTAACATACTAATTCATTTTGTTTTCTGTAATTGTTCTGATGTAATCACTAATAGGTCTTTTATTCGAAAGCAGGCCACGGAAGAATTCGCACACATTCGTATTACTGATTCCGAAGTTTACAAACAAACATCATAAATATCTTTTTCTAAAGCGGCAGCAACCAAAATATTTAGGACTATATATTTATTTTGACATCATGTGAACAAGGTGGTTTCTGATTCTGCTAGAGGTATGAGAACGACTATCACTTCACGGCTTCCTACACTGTGAAAGGATACTTCTTGAAAGACGTCAAGGTTTGTAATGGTTTTAGCTACTTGAGAGCGTGACTCCAGAGGCCACGGTTCAACCGATTAGAGCCGATCACATACAACCTTTTGTAAGTAATTTGGGAATAGTTAGTTCCGTACTTTGAAGGCCCTACTGCCAGCGACAGTAATTCGTAGGGTCGCTTAAGGACTGGTTTACATCAACACTTCGATTGATGATTGGGTTTGAAGCGACTGAGCACATCGATTTATTTGGTGTCTGATAAAATCTCAACAAAGATTTATGAAGTTCGGTTTACTTTTATCGACTTACATCACTTGTGGCGTAAGCGACCAACCGAAGGGCGATTTTACTGGAAAGCCGTTTGTTTTGTTCTGCTTTATGTGTGGGACGTGAAAATTAAGAAAAGGATATCCTTAGGTTACTAGTACTTGATGTAGGTATATTTTAAAGCATTCTTTTTACGTATTTTGAGACAACTAAGTGGGTAGCGCTGAGGTTAGGTATAGGCTACTAGGTAAATATAGTAGATCCGTTGATGAAGTGGTAAATTTTCACCAACTGAAGTAGTTAAGACATGTATTACGTGAGCTCTTCACATATCTTGACGTGAAATGTTATCTAGTGTATAGGTAGGTTGAATGAAAGCTAGGGAATAAAACATGGCATCGATCCATGAAGTCATTGATGATTAGACTGAACCATGTAGGTAATTAGAAACTACATGGTTGGGGTCTGCGCGATAACAGTATCTGGTGGTTAGATATTTTTGACGAAACAGGTCAGAATCGTTTGGAGTAGTACAGGTGGATCCATTCTTCGTATTTTCATAGATCCTGAATCCCGAAATATCCTTACCTCTTTTTCCATACTTAATTTATTTTATTACTATTATTATGGGATTCACTCTGATAATTTTGCCTCAATACAACAATGTTGTGTAAGTACTTAAACTGATAGAAATGTGCTATTTTATACGGGGTATATAACTGACTGGCTGACAACGTATGCAGTAGTGGATTATTATATGCTACAAACGCATGAAATTAATTGAAGCTAAGATCTTAGCTCCAATTCACCCCTCGAGGGATGAATTTCTACAGTCTATAAGTTTTCTATAAAAATGGAGAAGGCAGTGGAAAAGTGCATTGAAGAATACCAGATACCTTTTCTTGGTGTTAATATCTAAAGCACAAGATTTTTTACGTTTAGTGGATAAAGTCTGTGTTTATGTCAACAGAATTATAGAATGCCAAACTACGAAAACTACCTGGTAATATAATCTAGCTTATTGGGCCTGTAACTTTTTGTTAGAAGTAAGGTAGGGCAACTTTTCTCTAGCAGGTGTGGAGGATTTGTTATTAAACTAAACTTGGGTGCATAGTAAACCAGACATTTCCAACGCCCCGGTGTGTGAGCAACTTCGATAGTTCAAGTGAAGGGTTCAGATAGATGAGAAAGAAGTTTTAGTCTGACTTGCTTTACTATTAAACAGGCTGTACGGCTGCGCATGTACAGACAATCAGGTGGTTGCTTATATATAGGTAAAAAAGTGGAATTGAGACCAATGAGAATTCACACAGAGTCCCATACTACAATAATATTATTCACGGAACATTTTCAAATTTACGATGCATCTGTATAAATTTAGGAACAACTAGAGGACTGTGGTTATAATCAGTACACGTATAAGTGTACTATTAGGCTTGTATATACAAACCTAACGTTATATATATATATATATATATATATATATATATATATATATCAGCAAGAAACTATAACTGGTGAAACTGTTTTTCTTATTTTGTAGAATTAAAAACATTACTTCAAGAAACTGAAGACATTAGAAGTTTGGACTCCAAGGACACCTCCGAGTAGCGCGAAATTAAAAAGGGCGGCTGCCACCTGCCTAAGGAATAATCCAAATGGTTCAAATGATTGTGTTTTCGGTCATCAGTCATAAGATTAGTAGGGCGATTAGCCTCTGTTAATTAATACTCTTTTCCGCTGAAGATTCACTTTCTATATGAGAGCGTTCAGTGATGGGATAGGTACAACTTGTTCTGGTAGACCATTCCATGGTTCATATGATTCTAGATAGAATAGAAAAGGCTCCCGTTTAACGGGCTTTCATATCTAGTGGCAGTGGATGACCTATGGTTTCATGTAAGTACCCAGGCATATTAGACGATGAACAGAAAAGTATCAGTAAATTATAGCAAGATACTGTCCTTAGTCCTTAAGAATACGCCACGTTTACTTTGAATGATTTCTTGGGATTTCATCTGCACTAGCTCGGTCGGCAGCGAATTCAAGAAGTTGACTGCTCGGAAAGAGTAAGTGGTGTGCTCACAGTTCATTTTACTATGTTGTGTCTCGAATTTCTGATTGTTTCGCCGATGGATTGCGTTGGGACTGAGCTTAAATCGGTGTTTTAGGGGATGGATAGGAGTGTTTGCGATGCTATTATTCATTGGAAGATCAATGGAAGGTAAAGATGTGAGGCACTCTTCATTAGGCTTGGTTTTGAGTCTTCGAACTGATTTCGTGGCTAGTAGTTAGATACGTTCCAATGTAATCTTAGCCTTCTGGAGTGAGGTGGGAAACACTATATTTCCACACTCCAAATGATGTAGAATAAAACTGTTAAATATTAGGTGGAAAGTTCTACAGTCGAACTGGCGAAAGATTTGTCTCAACGTTGCCAGTTAAAGATTTTCTCGAAAGGAATTTCTGTCACAGTTAGCAATAGGACTACAGATCATAGGATGCCGATACTCGTAGATGTTTTGCAATTTGCGACACTTCCAGAGCAAAGTTACCTGGATTGTTTATGTAATCTGCAAAATGTCTCAGATGAAGTATTTACATGTTGAAGTGTTAAAAGTAAGTTCGAATAGATTCAAGTACTTCAGAAATGGCAGCTTATCATCTTGATTCCCAACGTCGCTCCACAATTTCACATCGTCAGCGAAAGTAATTCAAACGATGCTTGCTGATGAGGTTCGTTTATTTAAACTGAGAAATTAGGGACTCCTAGTACTGAATCCTAAGGGATACATTGGGACCTGTAGACTGACAAAAAATAAAGTTTACCGTGACCATAGAAAGTTGACTTTTCAAATATGAAGTGAGGCAATGAATTAATGATGAGATAGGTGTGACTGACCCTGTCAAAATCTTTTGAAAAGTCAACCTTCCGCTTGTGATCTAGGATGATTGTGCATCTGTACGCTGCGGTCAGCAGGCTGGTTATACATGAATAATCTCTATTGAAACCGTACTGTTGGGGCGAAAAGAAATTTATGGATAACAAATAGTCATGTAAACCATTGAGACAAATGTTATTAGTCCGTAGCTTGAAGGTTCTCTGCGTTTGTCTACCCGAAAAATTGGTGTAATGTGAGCCACAATTCAATTCTCTGATACTGTGCCCCGGCTACGAATCATGGTAGAGCAAACAGTTGAATATAATTCATCACTCTAGATCAACTTCATTGACTACGGGATAGCATTTGATTGCGTGAACAGGACAATATTATAGAAGCTTATTCGACACTACGGCGTGCCTGAGAAGATTGTCAATATCATACGGAGTTCCTATGATGCATTAAACTGCTAAATCGTGCATGGAGGACAATTGACAGACTCGTTCGAGGTAAAGACCGGTGTCAGGCAAAGTTGCTTACTCTCACTCTTTCTCTTTCTCTTGGTGATCGACTCGGTCATGAAGACGTCAACATCTGAGGGGAAGCATAGGATACAGTGGATAGCTAGGATGCAGCTTGACGATCTAGACTTCGTAGATGATCTGGCTCTTCTATCGCACACGCAACAACAAATGCAGGAGAACATGACCAGTGTAGCAGCAACCTCAGCAGTAGTAGGTCTCAACATACACAAAGGGAAAGCAAGATTCTCCAATACAACACAGCATGCACCAATCCAATCACACTTGACGGAGAAGATTTGGAAGATGTAAAAACCTTTACATATCTGAGCAGCATCATTGGTGAACATAGTGGATGTGATACAGATGTTAAGGAGCAGATCGGCAAAGCAAGAGCAGCATATTTACAACTGAAGAACAACTGGAACTCAAAACAAATGTCAAGACAGTTCTACTGTATGGGGTGGAAACCTGGAGAACTACGAAAGCCATTATCCAGAAGATACAAGCGTTTATTAACAGTTGTCTACGCAAAATACTTCGGATCCGTTGGCCAGACACTATTAGCAACAACCAACTGTGGGAGAGGACAAACCGGATCCCAGCGGAGGAAGAAATCAGGAAGAAGCGTTTGAAGTGGATAGGACCCATATTGAGGAAAGAACCCAACTGTGTCACAAGGCGAGCCCTCACATGGAATCCTCAAGGCCGAAGGAGAAGAGGAAGACCAAAGAATACATTATGGCTAGACACGGAGAATGATATGAGAAAGCTGAACAAGAATTGGATGGAATTAGAAAAGAAGGCCCAGGACAGAGTGGATTGGAGAGTGCTGATCGGCGGCCTATGCTCCATTGGGAGTAACAGGCCTAAGTATTTAAGGGCCTCGGCTTAGGAATCGGAGAATGACACACTAGGCAGTTTTGTCGATATGGAATCCGCTGCACGTGCTATGGCAGGATGGACGATTTACATGTCAGGAGGTGTCATTTTTCAGGTGCTGCAGTTTTCAATGTATAAAGTCAACACTCGTGTTGTTGGTTGACCGATTAGGACCTAGAGACTGGGAAAAGTCGGGAGAGAGACGGAGACTGAATAACAGAGTAAGCTTTTGGGATGGAAGCCCACTGAAGCCTGTCTTCTTTGACTGTCTTTGTGGCTTCCGTTACTTGCACTTCGTTGACGGCTCGATAAGAATGTTCTGATTTGATTGTCTTTAATTGGATACGGATAAACCGCTTAGGTACAGTATCAGCGCAATGCTCTAGCAGCTTTCACGCTACAATTTGTTTTTGTATTCGAACCATGGCCTACTATTGCATCTAAATGTTTCTATTATAGAATCCGATTCTTGAGCTATTCAGAAAGGGAAGTGTTAAATCTTTTACTTTTGGTTGTCATTGGGATCAGGGCCTTCTTTCATATTTTTTAGGCTCCATTTTCAGCTGCAGTAACACAACAGTCTCAGTTTCGTGTGTCCAATGTCTAACACCTTTGAAGTTTTCAAATCACTTGTTCTAGAAATAAATTGATTTTCTGTAGTTTTTTGGTTTTTCTTCACTTAAAGATGTTATTTTTCGTTCTTCTCTCTGTGGGCTCACTTAGTAATTTTAATGGTGTGAAGAAATACCCCCGAATAAACAGTTAGCAGAAGTTGAGAGGGGTTATCAAATCTCAAGGATGTAATAGGTGTCACAATGAGTCCATTCTTAGATCCGGATAAAGACATCAGGGTAGAACATTCAAAAAGAAGCAAATTACAAAAATCTCTAAAAATATCCATGTTGGTCATGCCAGTCACGAACCTCATATAGATACCTATATCAACGTAAAACAGATTATGTAGGAGCAACGCCTGAACGTTGTAGACGATTTGATCCAGAAACAAAAAAGGCAAATAATCGTCTTCCAGTAGCACCTAGACCTGCATATTTGACGCCCGATCGTACGGCGGGGATGAAAAGCTTGTCAATACAGATCTTGCAGAAAGACAATCCCTTTTTCGAGGGCTAAAAGCGTATTACACAACGGAAATAAAGTTTACGTTTGGGCACGATCCAAGCCATACTAAGTCTTATGAAAGCAAGCTACTCCTAGAAACAATAGCAGAATCTTGGATTCATAAGTTTTACAGAGTAGGATAAGAACTTTATTCCAGAAGTATTCAGGTTAGCCCTTCCTTATAATTTACTTTTGCTTCCTCTAATGAAAGTAACCTAATATTAGAGAAATTACCCAAACCAACTCAATCAGCAATATATGTCCGTGCGAATCTCTGCCTGGTTGAACGTATTAAGAGACAATCGGTAGTGATATAAATAAATGAGTTCCACCGGACTGGTTAAAAACCTTATGCCTAATAGTTTACACACTGCATAAGTTCGGTACAAAAAAATCCTAAACTGACCGGGTGAGACGGCAATGTATTTCACACAATTAAAGGTGTATTATACCAATGCGCGCAGCCTACTAAGGGGTGATGGAAACGGAAAACCATTATGTCGTTGTTGTCTCAGAAACATGGTTAAGTTCAGAAGTGCATGGTAGCGAAACCCAGTTACTTGGGATTTTAGTTTGTTGGGCTGACAGACTAAACCGTTAAGGTTTTGGTTATCCTCTACACGAAAACTACCTTAACTGTACGAGCTGTAGATAAGAATATACTACTCAGGGACATGTGAACTAATGAATTTCTGGCTGAAATACAAAGTGAAAGACATAGAATTGGTTATGGTATAGTGTAGTCCAGAATGCGAAGCTGATGACTTCTTTCTACACAAACTTGTAGGGTCAGGGGAATGTCGCTGGGCCTTAGCCAAATCATTCTGCAGTTGCGTCAGGGAATATCGAACAGTTCGCGGATCCATGTCAAGAGCGAGGACAACAAATGCGCATATTCGTAAGGAGTAGGTGAGCCTACATGTCGGTTTACCGTGTTGTATCTAGAAAAGTTTGAGTATTTCCCCTAAGCTTTGTGTTAGAACTGAACTTTAGAACTGGGTTTATATAATACGATACTGCCTATTACAAAATACTAAGATTCTACGGACTCTGGTGACTCCAGATCAGTCTGCAATAGGTTTATGGATATGTTTATTTAGTTCACTTACCTATAGTGTCTACTGGAATATAGATTTTACAATGAACTGAGATCACAAATGCATCCCACGGTTAACAAGTAACCTTCAAACAGGTTGAAGTGGTTAAATGAGACTAA